TTAAAGGACAACATGTGAGCCGTTCAGCTCAGGCCAAGGGTCCGCCCCACAAGCCCTTGGAGAAGAGGGTCCCTTAGAGGGAAATCATTCCAGCTCAGGGCACAGAAAAGGAAAGGCTCATTCCACAAAAAAGAACTGGATGCTTCATTCTTCCTAAATGAAGACCCCCATTCTCCAGATGCTTCAGACTATTTTAGACTAAGGTGTAGGTGATGCAGGGTGTGATGCAGGGTGCCAGTCTTTCTCGGGGTGCCCAGTCCTTACATCTCATTGCCCTGTGGTCATCAGGAGAGCATCATGGGATGGCCTGGCTCTCGATCTCAATGGGGAAGGAAGGATAGTCCACTAAATGGTGCCAGGGAGGTTGATCATTCCCGTAATAATAATAATTAAACTAGATCTGTCCTTCATTCCATACGCACAAAAACATTTCAGGTGGATTAGCAGACTTGCCTGTGAAAGGCGAGACTTAAATTTGGGGAAGAAAATATGAAATAGCTTTATGACCTTGGAGGAGGGCAGGATCTTAAGTGAGACACAAAACATGCTGGCAGAAAGTGAGGGGCGGGTCACGGGACAAGACTCCCTAGAAACACAGTGCCGGGAGAGGATGAGGACTGGGGCCAGAGGGCTGCCGTCCTCACAGCAGTAGTGTGGGGAGAGACGCTGCTGTTGAGGAAACGACAGACACCTCGCATCACAGAGCCACTGAGACTAGTGAAGAGCCAAGTCGTGAACAATGAGGGCAGACATTTGCTGTGCATGCAGTGAATTAAGGGAGGGGGGAGCCTTTACCTGAAGCTATGCAGAAGGGCAAATGTGCATGGTCAGTAAAAATAAAAAAGCTCAACTTCAACAGCAGTCAGGGAAACACAAGTGACAACTATCAGCTGATACTGTTTCTTACCCACGAGGACGTTGGCGCTGTCTTACCTTTCACACGGACGTTCTAGAAGATGTTGTTTAAGTTTTTAAAATAAAAAGTGGTCAAACTCACTCAGGTGTAGCTAAGCCGTCCACTGAGTAGCTGAAGCCCATTTTTTAAAATCAGGCTATTGGTTTTCTTGTCGAGTTATGTGAGTTCTTTGTAGATTTTTGACATTAGCCTCTTGTCTTGTGTATGGCATGCAAATATATCCTTCCACTCAGTAAGGGGTATTTTTGTTTTAATGATAGTTTCTTTTGCTGGGCAATTTTTAATTTGATAGTTGCTTTGTTTGTTTTTGCTTTGGTTTCTCTTGTCGATGGAGTCAACTCCCCAAAAGACATCCCTGAAGCCAAGGCCATGGAGTGTTTGCCTGTTTTTTCCTATGTATTTTGTGGTTTCAGATTTTATGTCCAAGACTTTAACTCATTTTGAATTAATTTTTGTGTAAGGTGTGAGAGAGTGGTCTGGTTTCATTCTTCTGCATGTGGCTGTCCAGTTTTCCCAACACCATTTGTTGAAGAATCTATCTTTGCGCCATTTTAAGTTCTTGGCTATTTTTTTTTAAGATTGATTGATTGATGTGTAGAAGAACTGGGGTGCTAGTGAGATAAGTTAGAAGGAGAAATACAAATACGTGATGACTTCATTTACGTGCAATATAAAGCATCAAGGCAAGGGAAAAGACAGACCACCAAAATAAACCCTTGAAAATTGCAGAACTGAGGCTACCAGAGGGGGAAGGTGGAGAGAGGGATGCTAAGGGGAGGGGGCCACTGTGCAGTGGAGGATTATTGGGGCTTTAGTGGTGGGTGTGTCATGATAATCATACGTTTGTAGAGGTGTGAGCCTATATCCCTAAAACATGTACAGCATATTACTCCAATGTGACCTCAATAAACTTAATTGTAAACATAAATAAATCAAAGAAAGAACTGCCCCTGACAGTCTTGAAAGAGACACACAGCATATGCTCCCTCTGGCTTCCCGACACAAACCTGGCATCTCCTCTGGGAAAGGGTGTGACTTCCTTTCTCCTGCCTGCTCTGCCATCCTGGCCAAACCCAGCCCATGCTCCTGGAGCTGTCCATGGTAGACACCCCTGTCCATGGCCGTGAGAACTTCCAGCATGGCATGCAGTTTGGGTCACCCTGGCTGCAGCTTCCAGAGCCTCAGGGGTGAAGTGGGTGAGTGGGGCCTTAAGGGGTGAGGTGGGCGAGCGGACGCAGAGACATGCTGCAGAGGCTCTGGTCTCTCATTCCTTTTCTTCTAGGCCTTTCTCGACACAGGGCCCCACCCTTCTTGATTGGTTTGTTCATATGCCACTAGAATGTGTGCTCTGCATGCCAGTAATTTGCCAGATCTGGCACCTCCTTTAGGCCAGAGACTACATTTATTACCATTAATTCTTTTTTTACTTTTTATTTTGAAATAACTTGAGACTTAGAAAAATGTTGCCAAAAATTCCCCACGCTGATGTCCATGGGCCCTTGCGGCAGCGTCCCCGCATGCTGACATTTATGTAACCACGGCACCATGATGAAATTGATGTCGATGCAATATTATCAATATTATTCAATCTGAAGCCTGTTTTCCCTTTTGCTGCTTGTCCTCAGGGTCAGGGTCCAGCCTGAGGTCCCACCCTCACGTTCCATTGTCTTCTCTCCTTGGTATCATCCAGGCTGGGGGACTCTTTTCTTTTCATGACCTTAAGTCTTGAGATGACCCCTAGTTTGGGGTTGCCTGATGTCTTCTTATGATAAGAGTTAGCTTGTACATTTTTGGCAAGCACAGAGGGGGCCTATGTGTGACATTAGGAGGGGCATCTCCTGGTGGCTGTGCCAGCTGTGGCCATGCAGGGAAGGCCTGTGTCTCTGCACTGTTGGGTTACTTTGCTGTTGGGCTAGTGAATACCATGAAGGAGGTGCTTTAAGATTACTCTGTTTCATGTTTCATGTGAGCTTAAAAAATGTGAATTGTTATTTCTGTATGGAATGCTCTGTATCTGTCTAAGAGGTTCAAATGGGATATAGTGTTTCATCCCTTGTTTTCTGATTGACCTTCTGTCTGATTGTTCTTTCCATTAGTGAATGTGGGTTATAGCATCTGCTACCATTATTGTGTTGATATCCATTTTCCCTTTGATTTTTGTCAATGTTTGCTTTATGTATTTGGTAACTGATGTTAGGTGCTTATGTATTTGTAATTGTTATATTTTCCTATCCTTTTTATCATTATATAATGTCTTTTGCGCTATCATGATCATTTTTGACTTAAAAAAAAAAAAAGACTACTCTGTTTCTCAGCGTACTCAACAGACTTTTCAGCCATTAATTTTATATTGCGTTAATTCTTGCCTGCAGCTACTGTTCCTTGGCAGTTTCCAGATGCTGATGCATTTTGTTTCTATCATTCCTTCTATATTTAGTAGTTGCAATTCTCTAAGAGCTGTATCTTCTCCCATTTATTCAATTATTGTATCAATGTGGACTCATGATTATTCTTTCTACTCTATGGATTATAATTCATCACTGCAATTGTTGAGCTCATGGCTAAGTTAGCCTGGCTGTGGCCATCGGGGCCCCTTTGGGTAATTTTTTACTCTTCAAAACCACAGAGGTACCAAGTTCTTGGCTTTTTTTTTTTAAGATTGATTGATTGATGTGTAGAAGAACTGGGGTGCTAGTGAGATAAGTTAGAAGGAGAAATACAAATACGTGATGACTTCATTTACGTGAAATATAAAGCATGATCATTTCTCAAAAAAAAAAGCCTTTTGTTCTTTTGATTGATGGTTGATAATTGAAAACAAAATGTGTGTGCTAAGTTTGCACTTGCCTCTGAACTCTCAGCTCTTCCCTCCCCACATCCCACTCATCTGTCCATCTGTATGCCCACCTGTATTTGTCTGTTACAACTTCATTTGTCTGTTACAACTTCATCCTGACCACAGCCCAGCTCCACTAGTTTCCCCCCAGACCTTCCTTCCTAACTGGTGACTCATCTCTCCACTAGCCAGAAGCCTGGTTTCTGTCATCAGCGACATAAGGAAGCCTGGCTTCCTTACCTACTCAGCCCGAGCGCCTCTGTAAAGAAGTCTCGGTGGTGATGCTATGGGGTGAAGTGGAAAAAGATTTCCTCACTGGAGGGCAGGATTTGGGCGTGCTACTTTTTGTCCGTGACCTTACACTGCATTCCAAAGCTGCTCTGGTTAGTTCTTTTCTCTTCCACCCCTGTCTGTGAGGCTGGGTGGCTCCTTTGTAACACAGGGAGGCCCGTTTGTGGCTGTTCGTGTGGATTCCCCTGACACACAGAGGCTGATTATGTCTGTTTATGTGGGGCTGCCAGAGCCCCAACTTTGATTCTGGGCAGATCCGTGTCGGATGTTTCCCCTCCCCCTTGTTACCTACCAGCCCCATTCTGTCCACCCCTTTCCACTCACCCCTGTGGCTGACCCATTTCATCAGTTTCTGGCTTACCCACCTGTGTTTCTTTTTGCACAAATGAGGAGGCCCGTGAGGCCTTCCTGTCCAGCGACTGCATGCCCTGCCCCTCGGTAGGCCCGGGCAGCTTGAAGGCTGCGAGGTGATTTTCCCACCTAAGGGCACTGCTGTTCTCCTCTCCGGTGCATCTTTCCTGCTGGCGTACCGGGAAGCGAACATGACTGTCGTTTTCATCCTTGAAAAGTATCATTGGTCTAAAATTAAAAGGGAGATGTGGGCTGTGATGGGCTCGGTAGCTCTGTACCATCTGTTCCCGAACTGGGTTTGTCCTAAGTGGTGACGAAAGCAAACAGTCATGCCCCCTACCTTTCCTTTCACGCTTTATGTTTGGTTTTTAGCAAGGTGTTTTATGAGGCTTATAAAAAGGTATTCCTTTCTCCTTATTAATAGAGGTCAAATGATTCCAAGTAGCCACAGGAGGGGCTGGACTCTTAAAATGTATACCCATCTGGCCGCTGCAGATGCCACAGACCAGCTTTTCTTACACACCAGCCCAGGCGCCCCCAGGTCTGCGGGATGGCACGGGAGACTCCCGTGGCTCACACTTCTTTTTCTTTTCAAATGCTCTGCAGGCCTTTGGGCAGTCCTTCTCCATTCACCGCAAGGTCGCCGAGGATGGAGAGACGCGGGAGGAGACGCTCCTGCAGGAGTCGGCGTCGAAGGAAGCCTACTACCTAGGCAAGATCCTGGAGATGCAGAACGAGCTGAAGCAGAGCCGGGCTGTGGTCACCAACGTGCAGGCAGAGAACGAGCGGCTGGCAGCTGTGGTGCAGGACCTGAAGGAGGTGACGGCAGCCCCGGGCGGGCGTGGCGGGACAGAGGTGGACGCCGTCCTTGGGCAGACGAGGCATGGCCCTCTCCCTCCAAGGAGGGTGGCGGCAGGAAGCTCAAGATACCGAGGCTGGCGATGCTCCTGCTTTTTGGTGCAGTGCCAGCTTGTTCTGAGATGAACCTTCTCTCTTTTATTTTTCAGAATTAACAGTCTTATTTATGGAGGGGCTGGGGATTGTCCATGCTGTCTGTGCAGGTGTTTAAAGAGGATCGTGAGCCCTGCTCTCTGCCCCCACTTTACCCGGTTAATACAGCATTGGAAAGAGTGGTGGCAAAGGGTATAGGGAGCCAGCAGTGGAGCTGGCTTAACTCTCTTTGGGGGTTGGACCCAGGGCCTTGGTGTCTAACAATGAGGAATGGGAGGGATGTTCTTGTTGTGGAGAAGGCAGCAGGCTCTGGGCTCCGAATGAAGGCAGGAGCTGCTTCGGGCCCCGGCCTCCCTGGCTCCCTCTTTCGCCTGCAAGGCCCCCAGGCCGCTGTCAGCCTGGCTGAGTCTGCCTTTGGTGGAGGCGATGCTGGGACCCCTAAACGCCAAAAGCTGCTTCATCCACTGGAGGCTTTTAAGAGCATTTTGGGAAACTTCATACCAGGCTGTGCCCTGCATTTGGGGACATGTCCACTGTAGAAGAGGTGGCCCAGCTTCTAATTCCTGCTCCAGCCACACGGAGATTGACTGACACCTGTCCACTCCTGGGGATCTGTCCAGGGGGCGTTTCAGTAACAGAACAAGGGAGGGATGTGGCTGCGGCCGCTGCTCTGGGGGCCGGGCCTTGAGAAGCAGGGCTCGGCTCTCCTGCTGGTGGGAGCTGGAGTAGGACGCAGCAGCAGGCCACACGCGGGCACACGCTCACCCTGTGGTCTCCTGGCCAGGGCCGTCACCCCCATGTCACAAAGTGTTTCTGTACGTCCACCTAAAGGCTTCAGAGGTGTAAACACAGATGGGTGATCTACTGTGCATTAATTCTGTGTGGGTGGTGAGGTTCCTCCAGCTGAGGCTTGTTTTTCAGCTTCCAGAAGGACAATCGTCCCACCACCATTGGTTGGGAAAGGCCTCTCTTTCTCCAGGGAGCTGCGCTGCCTTTGTGCCCTTGCCATACCCACTGGCCATGTTCTCTGGGACTCTGTTTCTAGATTCTATTCTGTTGTCCCCTTTGCCAACACTGCATGTCATGATGAAATCTGGGGTGGCAGGAAGTCAAGCCAGGGCCGGCCTGGCAGCCCATTGCAAGGTCCTAGCTCTTGGGAGGTGTTGAGGGGTGAAGTGACCTCAGCGGGGCGAGGTCAGGGTGGGAGGTCACTGTGGCTGCCCAGATGAGAAGGTGTAGCCAGGCGGCAGGCAGCCTGTGCTCTGGAGGTTGCCCTCTACAAGCTGGTACCCTGAGGAAGAGAGGAAGGAGAAAGTTGTAGGGTGAAGGGTAGACGGAAATTTGAGTGGTGAGCTTGACGCGGGAGATAACATGTCGATTTTTAAAATGATGCACAGGGCCTCCCCGGTGGTGCAGCAGTTGAGTTCTGGGTTGCGAAGCTGCCCGCAACCTCTGCAGCGCCAGTTTGATGTCCAGCCACTGGGCGAGGGTCCCTCATGGCACGCAGACCTCTCCTGCTGCCCGCTGCTCCCCTCAGCAGTGTACTTCATCAGTCTGTCTGTTCTGTTCCCCGCTCTGGCTCTGGTGAATTCTCTCACCCTCCCACACTTCTGACTGTACCCAGTGCTTGTATAAATAAATAAATAAAATCTTTAAAAAAAATAAATAAAATGATGCACACCCTATTGCCATGTTATGATGCAGTGTTGCCGTAGACCAAAAAGAAAAAGGAAGAGGCTACATCCTGAGTTATTTGGAGTGTGGAGCCGACAGGACGTTCTCCTGCCTTGAATGCCAGCGAGTCAGGTTTTAGGCGCACATGTTCATTGTGGGATTTCGGTTAGGCCACGTGTACCCGTTGAGTGGCCAGCGAGAGGGGAAGGCTTAGACTGTGGGCCTGCGGGTAGAAATGACACATTTTGGCACTACCATCAGGTCGGTGGTCCCAAAGCCCTTCTGTAATGACCATGGCCAGAGTGTGGATGGAAAAGAGAAGGCTGAGTCCTGTCACCTTGGCACGGAGAGGTTGGGGACATATGGGAACCCAAGAGGGAAGCAGCAGCAATAGTCAGGTGGGAGGAAAATAAGGGGTGTCCCTAAGAACCAGGCCAGATAGTGGCAGAGAGGATGTGACCGCTGTAGGTGCTGCCCCAGGTCAGAGGTGGTGAGGACCCGGTGGTGGGTGGGCTTAGCACAGGGCCCATCGGTCACCTCAGCAAGAGAAGCTGTGTGGAGGCTGGGTGCAGACGAGGCTGATCAGTGCAAGCTCGGGAGAGAAGGAAGGCAAGGAATTGGACGCAGAGGAGAGGCTGCTTTCTCAGGGGTCGGTTTGTTTGTGGAGGACCAAAAAGCAAGCCCAGGACAATGCTGTTGGGTTTGTACTTGAAAGAGGTGACCGTTTCCAGGGGTTGCCCTGGAAACAAGTGAGGCAGAGCAGGGCGCCCATGCTGGCAGCTGGAGAGCAGCGTGTGGGTGCAGGCACTGGCCTGTTGGTCGGCATGCACAACGTGCCTTTGCCAGGCCTCTTCCGGCCACATCTCTTCTCATTGAGGCTGGACGCCAGGCCAGCGGTGGAGAGGAGAGATGCAGGGCATTGGGGATTTGAGGGAACAGTTGGGTCAGTCGTGTGGGGATAGGCAGAGAGAGGAGAGTCATAAGCCTGGACCAACAGGTGAAACTGGAGGAGCAGGTCCTGGAGGGGATGGGGGAAGTGCGGGGGAGGGGGGATCAGCTGTGTGCATCGCGGGGCGGAATTGAAGGCAGAGGTCCTGGGGTCAGTGACATTGAGCCAGGAGCAAGTCAGCGGGTGAGGGAGGAGGAGGGCATGTGGGGGGGGCGTCACTACCAGAGTGTGGACAGTCCTCCCTGCCCACGTCTGCTCTGCTGCCACCATCTTTTTTTCCGTGGATGTGCCTGTTAAGTTGGTTTTCTTAACTCAAAGTTGTAATGCATCATCGCCTTGTAGAATTTTTGGGTAGCTATCAGGGAAACTCCGCTGTGTCTTTGCTGCTTAAGTTCACCTCAAACATACATTTACTACTTTAAAAAATCTCATGATGACTTGAGACTTAAGGCGGAGGAGTCCCAGGGGAGGAGGAGGAGCATGTTCTGAAATCGAGGTCCCTCCCCAGGCCAGCACTGGAGAGGTGTCCTGGGGGTCACCTCCCCATGGGAGCAGGTGAAGGGGGCATCATGCACATCTCCATGTCAGCAGAGCTGCTGGGGTCTGAGTGCCGAGGCTGCCCCGGCAGCTGTGAGGTGCATGTGCGTGAACCCCTTGTTTAAGGTCTGGAGACGTCTCTCCCCACGAGTTGGCTCATGATAGTTATCACTGTGCTGGCTCTCATCTTTACCCAGAAATATCTCAGACCATTTGGAGGTTCTTCCAGGTCGATCATCAGGAACTGTATCTCCAGAAACCGAGACATTTAGGGGAAATCTTAAAAAAATGAAAGTGTCTGTCCATAATGCCAACATCTTTTGGCTGCAGTCTCAAAATAGCACATTTTTGTGCATGCCAGTTCTCTATCCACATCCAACAGCGAGACAGGCTTCCCTCTGACCTCAGGTGACCTCAACTTCGCTGCCTGTGTGTAGCTGGTTACTACACCAGTGCAAGTGGATCCCTGAATGTGGATGCAGGGGGACAGGCCACAGCAGATGGGGGATTGAGGCTCCCATCTTAGTCCAGAAACAGCCACCTGGGAGCTGCTGGAGACTCCTAGTCTCTTTTGATAGTGTAGTCTCTCTACTTTTTAAAGAAAGTAATTGTTGAGGCTTATCTAATTTACAGCACAGTGTTTCTTCCATTTAAAAGTGAATTCGTTTGTTCCAGTGTTCTATTTCTAGCCGGTTCCACTGTTCTAGTTCCTGCCTATTTCTTGGATGATTGTATAATTCTTAGAATCTTCCCATCTGATTTAGATTGTTGAAATTACTTGCATATAAATGTTCATAGTAATCTTGTATTATCTTCTGAATTTCTTCAGTGTCATACTGTTTTCCTCTTTCATTTATGATTGTACTTATTTGAATTTTCTCCTTTTTTTCCCTTAGTGAGCCTAGCTAAAGGTTTGCCTATTTTGTTTACTTTTTTTTAGCTTTCTGCTTATTTATTTATTTATTTTTAATTATTTTATATAATTTTACATCATTTTTCTTTTTCTTTTTTTAAAGATTTATTTATTAATTTATACAAGTACTGGGTATAGTCAGAAGCGCAGAAGGGTGAGAGAATTCACCAGAGCCAGAGTAGGGAGCAGAACAGACAGATTGACTGAAATACACTGCAGAGGGGAGCAGTGGGTGCGGCAGGACAGGTCTGCGTGCCATGTGGGACCCTCGCCGGTGGCCGGGTATCAAAGTGGTGCTGCAGAGGCTGCGGGCAGCTTTGCAGCCCAGCACTCAACTGTTGCGTCACCGGGGAGGCCCCATTTTTCATTTTTGTACAAAATTAAAGCGTCAAAAAAATAAAAGTGAATTCATTAATTTTTAAAATTAATTAATTTTTTGATTAATTTTTTATCTATTATTCACCAATTAAAAATAATAAACAAGGAAAGGCAGTCTACTTTGAAAAACCAAGAATTGGTGTGGTGTCGGCTTAACACATACTAGGTATGACACATGTACATATGCCACGTGTTATATGTGTGTGATTTCATTCCTTGCCTCCCATTCTTCCATTCCATGTGCACACATTATAGCGTGTATATGCTGCCTAGTATAGCTGTGTATGTGGGTCTCATCCTCCCTCTCCACCTCCTCCCTTCCTCTTGATCTTCTCCCTTCCCTCTCTTTCCCCCTTCCTGTCTTGGGATTAGTGTCAAATACCAGTTTCTTGGAACTGGAGAATCAAGATCTTATAT